TGATTGCCAACATATATCTTGGTGGGGGGGGGGGAGATGAAGTTTCAAAAGGAATTTTTATATGTTAAAGTAGACTCACAGGATCCTGGAGGGGTGGGATAACCCTAAGCTAAGATTGCCCTTTGCCCCTAGCAAAGTGTCATCATCAAGGCAGCTGAGCTCTTAGAGGAAGGTCAGTCCACCTGTTTCAAGGACTTGCCAATGGGCTGTAGACAGTAAGGACATTTAATTTTTTCTTTTGCCTTTTGTTTTCCATATCATAACTACTACCACCAAGATACAGAAGACCCACAAGTTCCCTGTGCCTTTTGTAGCGAGTCTCCTCCTTCTCCTGCCCCCAGCACCCACTGCTCTCTTTTCTGTCTTAAGTGACATTACAAAATGTCACATAAATGTAACCGCATGCAGCCTCGATTCTGCGATGGTGGGTGTAGTAACGGCATTATGCCCGCACTGTTGTTAAGTGAGGTTATTCACCAAGCAGAACAAGGCGCTCAGCTCCAGGGATCCAGAAAGCTCCGGACTGGCCCTAAACAGTAAATGAATAAAAACATCAGTTAACTCAGATAATCATGAAGGTCACCAGGTGGGTGGCGTCTGTGACTGCGAGTCTGGGCAGCCCTCTGAGAGAGTGACAGAAGGGAACCAGCCCAGACTAGAGTTTGGGGGAAGACCATTCAGGTGCAGGACCCACCAATGCAGGCACGTAGCACCTGGAGGACGGGGTGGGGGCCGGGCCGACCCGAGTGTCCAGGGACAAGGGGACCCATCTGAGGTCGAAGGTGCGAAGTGAATCGGACGCGAGGGCACACGGCACTCACACGCCCCCACCAGGATCACACTCTGGACACCGGCAAAGCCCAGCGCTGCCCTTGGCCGCATCTCGTCGGCGGGGACACCGTCGGGACGCCCACCCGCGGACCGCGCCACCTGCCCCGCCCTAGCGTCACCCTGCGACCCCACCCCTCGCCTTCAGCCCCGCCCCCGCCCGGGAACTGCGCCTGCGCACTCCGAACCCGGCGCTATCTCCCAGAAGCCCGTCGGGCGCTATCAGTCCCCCGGGAGGCCTGCACTTCCGGCCAGGCCCGGGTCGGGCATCCATAACCACCGGGGGGCCGCAATCCGGAAAAGCCGGAAGCGGCCGGCCCGGAGAAGGGATGACGGACGCTGTGTAGGCCCAGGGAGGGCCCTAGCCTTGCAGCCTGCGCTCCACTCAGTCCCGCCGCGGCGCTGGACTACACTTCCCAGGACGCTTTGCGGTGGCCGCACACGCCCACTTCCGGCAGCGGCCCGCGGCCCGGCGGTGTCGGGGTCTCGGCGGCCGGGGTGGGCGCGGGGCGGGGCGGGGCTGGCTGGACGCCGGGCGTGCCCGGGGCGGGAGGGGGAGCGAGCGCGCGCGCCGCGCAGACATGCAGGGGGAGGCGGGCACGGGTAGGAGCGCGGGGTCCCGCGGGCAGGAGTCCCCGCCGCGGCGAGGCGCCCCCAGCACAAAGCCCGGGGCGGGCCGGGGCCGGACTGCGGGGACCCCGACTGCCTTCGTCCGTCCCGCCCGGGGAAGGCCGCGCGGGAGGAATGGGCTCCCGTTCAAGGGCCAGCGAGGAGCGGTGACGACGGGGCCTGAGAACCGAGGTGAGGGTGACAGGTGGTCGGGCCTGATGGACGGGGACTAGCGATCCCCCTCAGAGGGCGGGGAGGGCGAGGTAGTGGGGCCAGGGGCTTCTGGGGCCCGAATGCGGGCGAGTGGTTGTCCCTAGGCTCTAGGCTGGTAGGTCGGAGGAACCCACCGGGTTGGAAGTTTACCCTGAGTCCGAGCATCAAGCAGCGGTGCAGGGAAGGGCCTTGACTTGCCCCGGGTCAGCCTAGCCGGACACTTCCGCAGTTCATGCTCCCAGAGAGGGGAACCCCTCTCCGCTCCGTGGCAGCCCCCGGGGAGAGTAGTAGTAGTAGGCAGATCACCCCCTTCCAAATTAGTGCTGTCCTGTTCGTGCCCGAGCGTTCGATTCTGCACTTGTTGAAGCCTTTTCCGATTGATTGATGGCTGTGGTTTAAGACTCAGCAGGAAGGGACCGATTCCACGCCGGTGGTCAGGGGCGCGGTGTAGACTCGGCCTCTGGCTACTCCCTTCTGTTCCCCCAGCTCTGCCTTCCAGAGGCCCTGCGCTTCTCCAGGACAGGAGGCAGAAGCAGGAGGCCGCGGGGACAGGACCTGAACTGAAAGCCTTGTCTCGGGTGAGTTGGCATTTCCTCCCTCCTCTCGGAAATGCAGTCCTGCTTTTCAGGACTTAATAACGTTTATCTTCTTTTACAAGTTTTCAGTTTAAGATGCCTGTCCTGGGAGCTGGTTCCCATTTCCTCACATTCTGGTGAGTGGTGGGCTGCAGGGGTGGCCCAGGGCCTCCCTCCCTGCTTTCTCTGCATCCCGTTTAGTGTTCATTCTTCACTGGTGAAGTGACTCAGCCCCTCGCTGGGCCGCTTCTCTCCGAGGGACCCTGATGGAGCCCAGAGGTGCTCCTTGGGGCAAGCATGACAGTAGCTTGTGCCAAACCTGGTTTGTTTGGTATCAGCTCTGTGCCAGTCCCTGGAGAAACAGATGGCTAAGCCCCAGTCCCTGCTCTCCAAGAGCTTACAACCTGTGGAAAGTCCTGGAAGCAAACAAGGTCCTCAAGTGCAGGTGAGAGGTGAGAGCTGAGTGCGGGTGAGAGCTGCCTGGAGGAGCTCTTGGCTCCTACCTGCCCAAGGGGAGGGTGGGGTGTTGGGAAGGGAGGTGATGTTTTTGAGCCAGAGTTTGAAGGGAGAGGGAAGGGCAGCACGGGTGCAGTATGGAAGGCTGTCTTTTTCTCACTTGATTGTGTGGCTTCTTAAAGTGCTAACAGGTAGTTTTGTTTGTGTCTGTCATCTGTGTCTCACAAATAGGAGAGCCAGCTCATACATACATGCACTGGGTTCCAATTGTCCCGCCCAAGCTGCTTCTAAGCAAGTTACCAGTGATCTCCATATTACCAAATGCAGTGCCCAGTTACCGTCTTTTAAAAAAAAATTTTTTTTAATGTTTGTTTTTATTTTATTTTCTTTCAATATGAAATTTATTATCCAGGCTTTTCCATTACAACACCCAGTGCTCATCCCAAAAGGTGCCCTCCTCAATACCCATCACCCACCCTCCCCTATGTTTGTTGTTTTTTTTTTTTTAAGTTTTTTTTTTAAACGTTTTTTATTTTGTTTTTGGGACAGAGAGAGGAGAGAGACAGAGCATGTGGAGGGGCAGAGAGAGAAGGAGACACAGAGGAGGAAGCAGGCTCAGGCTCTCAGGCCATCAGCCCAAGAACCCAGGCGTGGAGGCTTCGAGAACTCCGCGGACCCGGCGGATACGTGATGACCTGGGCAGCCGAGAAGTCGGACACTCAACCTGACTAGACCATGGCTAACCTAATGTAATGTTTGTTTTTAGAGATGCCAGAGTGGGCAGGGAGGGGCAGAGAGAAGAGATGGAGAAATTCCAAGCAGGCTCTGCACCCTTACTTGGGGCTTGATCCATGAACTGGCGAGATCATGACTAGACCAAATCAAGTCAGGCAGACGCTCAACAGGCCTGAAACCGGGTGCCCAGAATCCTCAGTCTTTTTTTTGATTATCATTGGCTTTGGTAACGAATTGTAGGCTTTCAGTGTAAGCAAAAAAGCTAGGTAAGCATATTTTAAACTTTATAGTACTTTACTGGCAGCGCCCGCTCCTCTCTGCCCAGCTAGAGCTCCACTCCTTCCTTCTAGAGCTGAGGCAGCCACAGATGAAGATATAAGTGTAATGGTTGGATTTCAATAAACTTTATTTACAAAACACATTTGGCACCACCAACCCGTTGAGAATGGCTCATCCCTTGCTCTCTGGGACCGTTTTTCCCTTGGCTTGTAGGGCACAACACGTCTGGCTTTTTCCCACCTCCCCTCCTGACGGCTCTGTCTCACTGCCGGTTCCTCCCCCATCTCCCTGACCCTGCACACCTGTCGGCATGCTGCTTGGGACTTCCTGTGGCTCTCCCTGAGTCCACCTGCACACGCACACCCAACTTCTACTGGGGAGGTCAGTTCTCATCTGTAAAACCAGCCTGGGCAGGCTTCTCCCATATTTTTGCCTTTCCAGCTCCCAGCTCTCCTCCTGAGGGCTCCAGGCCTGTGTGTTGGCATCAGCCTGACTCCTCCCTCAGATGTCGGCGGGCTGGACCCAAGGATGATTCCCAGGATTTCCCCCAAATTGCCTGAAAACACTCCCACACGTTGTCCTCTCTGTCTCCAGATTCCAGTGATGGCAGTTTCATGCTCCCAGAATTCTCAAGGGGTGATTCTAACGCTCTCCTCTCTCTGCCTCCCATGTTTGGCTTGGCAAACCCCTGTCAGTCTGATTTTCACATTCACATTATTATTGACTGAGGTTTTTTCTATATTCAGAATCTGATGATTATCTGTTATGCCCCCTGCCCCCATCCCACCTCAGTGAGATGACATTTTACTGTGTTGGCCCTTGACTCCTTCTGTGCTGACACATCTCCCACGTGTGTTCCTGCAGTATTATCCCAAAGTGTAGCAACCAGGGGAGAGTGTGTGTGTGTAATGTGTGTGTGTGTGTGTTCCCAACTGCTGTGTCCTCCCAGTACTCCAGAACCCTCAGTGGCTTCCTGAATGAAGGCCAGATCCTTAATGCTGATGGGAAACACCATGGCTTTGCCTCTGGACTTTTTTGGACCTCTGACTTTTTTTTTGTTTTTTAAAGTATTTGTATTTTTGACTGACTTGGCAGTCCACGGGAGGGGCAGGGGGGAGACACAAAATCCCAGAGCAGGCTCCAGGCCTGAGCTGCTGTCAGGCTGGGGAGGCCCAGTAAGAGCTCAGACAGCATGACCTGTGAGATCATGACCTGAGCCGAAGTCAGATGTTTAACTGGCTGAGCCACCAGGCACCCCTGGACCTCTGACATTTACTGTCCTTCATCACTGCTTCCTCAAAAATTGCCTTCTCATTTCCTGATCCCTCAGCCGACATAGTTCAGGCTTCCCACAGGTCCTCCACACCCTCTTCTCACTTCTTTGCTTTTTTTTTGCAATTTTTTTTTTAATGCTTTATTCCAGCTTTGGGACAGAGAGAGACAGAGCATGAACAGGGGAGGCAGAGAGAGGGGAGACAGAGATCAGAAGCAGGCTCCAGGCTCCTAAGCTGTCAGCACAGAGCCCGACACGGGGCTCAAACTCACGAACCGTGAGATCATGACCTGAGCCAAAGTCGGACCCTTCACACACCTGACCTTGAACCACCAGAAGCCCAGCTTCTCTTTTTATTTTTTTAATTCTTAGCACATTTGAACGCACTATATATTTACTTAATATATCTGGTTTTCTGCTCTGAGTACACATGACACAGGCAGCGATTGTGGGCAGTTTCACCCCAGTGCTGGATTCAGAAAATATTTGGTGGGGGAGTATGTGAATAAGTCTTAAATTTCTCTTGTAGCTGATGTTTTGCTGTTTAATGTAGCATGATAATAACTTTTATACCTGAGAATGCACTTCATCCCTGAGTATTTGCTATGAATACATTCCTAAAACTTTTTCTTACTTTGTGGATTAAAGTTTGTTACACTTACACGAAATTGGAATACTTCAGCAGCTGTATTTGGATGGAACAGCAGCAGAGCCTCAAAAACTAGAATTTCTGTTATGGTATGGGGGGGGGAGTAGACTTCACCACTCCCCCCCAAAATGACCAGTTTTCATTCATGTACCTTAAAAATTAATTGAATTGTACCAAAAAAAATCCCTCTTTAATGCATTTTTTCTTACAGAATATTTATGTTCATTTTTTCCTATAGCATATTAATACAAAGTATTTTTCTGTAAGGATAGCATCGCTTTTTTCTGTTTGTTTTAATCCCTGTCCCGTCTTTATTAAGAGTCAGACCACCGGATCTGATTCTTGTATCAGGTGTATCTTGGTGTTTTCTCTATGGTGTGGTGTGACATGTCAAAACCCTTTTGGAAGTCTGCACGCTAACAACGGGAGTAAGAACATGACCCCCACACTTGAGAGAGTGCTGTGTCCCCTTGAATGAAGTGGGTTGACCCAGACACGAGTTGAAGAAAATTTGTTTTATCTGAGAGCCGTGTTGCCTTGTGGATCCTGTTTCACTGTCATCAGCATTATGGCTAGTGTCACCGTGGAACCTTTTACTAGAGGCGTGATAGTGTGATGTGGACCGTGGAGCCAGGCTGCCTGGGTTCGGAAGCTAGCTCTAACACTGGATCGCTGTGTGACCTTAAGGCACCTAATCGACCACGTTTTCTTTGTCTGTAAGAAAAGGGAATGATCATGGTGCCAGCCTAGTATGGTTCTTGTAAGGGTTAACTAAGTTAGTATAGATACAGTGCCTAAAACAGAGTAAAGGTGCCTGGCACTTGGTAAGATCTCAGGAAGTGTTAGCTCTCAGCACCCTCGTGTCATGGTGGTTTAGAAACGTACACACCAGAGCCTTAGATGATGTGCGTTAATGTAACCATTGGACGGGAGTTGGCAAACTGGCCTAATCCGGCCCGTCACCTCTTTTTGTATAGCTTGTGAGCTACAAATGGTCTTTCCGTTTGCAGTGATTGAAAAAAAATGATAAACGGTATGTCATAACATGTGGAAATTATAGAAGTTTACGTTCTGGTGCCCATAAACGAAACCTCCTTTCAGCAGAGCACTGCGGTTTAGGTATCGTCTGTGGCACCTTTCACGCTGCAAGAGCAGAGTTGAGTCGTGACAGAAGCTGTCTGGCCTAAGACGTTTGCTCTCTGGCCCTTTACAGAAAGCCTTTGCTGATCCCTGATGTCAAGGTTAAGGGTGTGCACTATGGAGCCGGACTGCTGGGTTCCAGATCTTGGCTCTGCAGTTGACTCCACAGTCTTGGGCAAGTTAGAGCTCTCTGTTCCTCATCTGTAAAAGGGGAATGGTGATAGTACCAACCCTCAGGGTTGTGGGGGTTGAGTAAGTTCAGAGTTGTGTCTGGACTATTACAAGTGTTGTGAGCGATAATTGTTGCTGTTTACAGTAAAAGACCTTTGTTAGCTCTCTTACTCCGGGCTGCGCTCACAGATCGCCACAGAGCGGGCGGCTTCTATACAGCACACATTCATTTCTCACGTTCTGGAGGCTGGGAAGAGCCAAGATGACGCTGTTGGCAGATTGTAGGTGGTGCCTGATGTGGACCCGCTTCCTGTTCTGTTGCTGGTGCCTTCTCTCTGTGTCCTCACATGGGGGGCTCTGGAGCCCTCTAGGGTCTCTTTTATAGGGACACGCAGCCCATTTGAGAGGGTTCACCCTCATGACCAAAGCACCCCCAAAAGGCCCCACCTCCAGATGCCATCACACTGGGTGTTAGGATTCCAGTATATGGATTCTGGGGGGACACAAACATTCAGACCACAGCACTAACTGAAGCCATTGATTCTGTACATAAAGGGCAGTCTGTATAAACTGAGAAAATGTCTTACTTGGAAGGTTATACTGATAATGTTAGGTCTCTCTGGAACATAGGAGTAGAGAGGTGGATAAGGGGACATTTCTTACTAAGAAAAATCAAACCCCAAAAAACCCAGTTGGCAAATATGAGAAAATACTGGAACTTACACTCTTCTTTGTAGGAGCTCCCAATTCTGGTTTTATTGCCGATGACCAAGTAGTAACAAAGGCTAGAAAAATGGACACCATTTTCTCTTGTACCAACAGACTTATGAAGTTATTGTAAAGATGCTGTAAAGATATTATAGATTTTAAAAAGGTGTTGTAATTTGTGTATCATTCATATACTCTATTCTATGTGATTCGTTTCATTTAATAAAAGATATCTGAAAGATTTTTGAAATAATTGAATGTCCGGAAAATAAAGAAGTGCAAGGAGGGAGCGTGTAGTTAGAACTGTAAGGCTGGAATCCGTGAGAACCCGGCTTCTAGAATCAGGTCAGAAGAAAAGCAGAGCAGTAGCATATGTCCGAGCACCTGTATCTTTGAACACAGTTTAAAATATTTGTATGGAAAGGGTTTTTTGTTTGTGTTTAAGCCACTTTGTTGAGGTATGATTGCCATGTAGGAAGCTGCACATTTTTAATGTGTACAACTTGATGAGTTTGAGGGAAAGTGTGTCCTGGTGAGACCGTGCCCGCCATCAAGGCCATAAGCTTATTCATCACCTTCCAAAATTTCCTCCTGCCCTCATCATCGTCGTCATTATTATTTTTGGTGGCGAGAACACTCAACCTAACATCTGCCCTCTTAGCAAATTTTAAGGATGCAACATAGTATTGTTAGCTACGGGTGTGATGCTATACATTACGTCTCCAAAACGCATTCATCCTGTGTGAGACTTTGTTCGCCTGACCACCACCTCTGCATTTCCTCCTCCCCTGGCCCCTGCCACCGGCATTCTACTCTCTGCTTCTGTAAGTTTGACTGTTTTAGCTTCACATATAACTCAGATCGTGCAATGCTTGTTCTTCTGTGTCTGGCTTATTTCGCTCCGCACCTGCCTCAAAACGCTTGAGTTTCAGTATGCTCGAAGATTCCACCGAGCCTTGCACAGTTTTCAGAATTTGAAGGCATTTACATGCTGGCGCACGTGGATATGAACAACCCAGGGAAAGAGAGCTCAGCAAAATTAGCACTCTTTTTTTTTTTTTTTTTTTTAAACCTTATTCTGAGAGGCAGCGCTCACAGAAGCTGGGGAGGAGCAGAGAGAGAGGGAGAGAGAGAATCCCAAGCAGGCTCCATGCTGTCAGCACGTTGCCTGATATAGCAGGCATGAAACCGTGAGATCATGACCTGAGCTGAAATCAAGACTTGGACGCTTAACTGCTTAACTGACTGAGCCATCCGGGCGCTCCGAATTAGTGCTCTTATTACTTATTCAGCCAGCAAATCAGTTCCTCTGCTTTCAAGTCAGATGCTCCAACTTGCAAAATTATTGTCGCAAAGTTGTTGTTGAGAGCTGGCCCGCATTCGTTTTAGACTAGCGCTCAGGTGGGTGTATGACCGTGTCGCTTGCTTAGAGCACACCAAGCAGCTCTGGGCTGTTTTCCTGCAAGTATTCCCGGGTGTTTTCTGTGTTGGGGGCCCTTTCAGTCTCCCACTTAGGAGATTTATGCGTCAAGGTTACTGTCTTCACCCAGGTTACAATGCAGAACCCGTTTGACTTGTCTTGACACAGTTCAGTTAAGAATACCTTCAGAGATGGTGCGGGTCAAAGAGGGCACGATAGAAATTATTCAACAGACACCACACCTCCAAGGAACTTTGTTTCCAGTAGAATTACGTGAAGCTGTAAGCGAGAAGGCTCACCCTTCGGTTGGCAGCATCATGGCTAATGTTCACGTACATGTGGCCCTTCCGCGCTGGGCCTGTGCTCCCTTATTTAGTCCGCATCACAATCTGGGGTTTTGTTGATTTTTCCGTCATACAGTTGGGGAGCTGGGGTGTGCTGCGGTCTGGGTTCAGGCTCTGTGGGTGGTTGGACTTGCCCGCTTATTGGCTTGAGTATAGACTTTTAAAATGCCAGGGCTCCTGGCCCTCTAAACTTAGAGGACAGCCTCTAATGGGAAGCCAAAGCCACAGATTGCCGGGGTCACAGTTTGAATTAAATTAATGTTTAAAATACCTTGGAATGTGTCCAAATTCTGTGCTGAAATCATAAAAATCTGCTACATAAAAATCCACCATCTCTGGATGAGATGAGCAACAAACGTGTTCATGTACCTCCTCGGTATGTCCTCGTCCTCGACACTTCCCAGCTTCTCGAAGGTGGCGCCTTGATTCTCCTTTTATTTATTTTGAGAGAGACAGAGATTGAGAGGGAGAGAGAGAATCCCAAGCAGGCTCTGCACTGTCAGTGCAGAGCCCGACGTGGGGCTTGAACCCATGAAACTGTGAGATCATGACTTTAGCCAAAACTAACAATTGGGCGCTTAACCGACTGAGCCACCCAGGTGCCCCAGTGACACCTTGATTCTTTTTTTTTTTTTAATTTTTTTTTTCAACGTTTATTTATTTTTGGGACAGAGAGAGACAGAGCATGAACGGGTGAGGGGCAGAGAGAGAGGGAGACACAGAATCGGAAACAGGCTCCAGGCTCTGAGCCATCAGCCCAGAGCCCGACGCGGGGCTCGAACTCACGGACCACGAGATCGTGACCTGGCTGAAGTCGGATGCTTAACCGACTGCGCCACCCAGGCGCCCCTACACCTTGATTCTTAAAGGCATTTGTAGTACTTGTCATTCTTACTAAACACTCCTCCTTATTTCAGAAAATGGAAAAGAGGATTTTGTTAGTGGATTTGTTTACTTTTTGTTTTTACCACCAATGCTCCACATCTAATGAGCACTGAAAGTGAAATAGAAATCCTTAGAACCTAGTTTGGAGTTTAGTCCTCTGTGCCTTTTGAGTTTCATCTTCAAATTTATTTCCCCCCATTCTTGTGCTGATCCAGGCCCCTCGCGTGCCCTCGTGTCAAAAAATACTCTGACACCCGTTGTACGTGGGGACAGTTGAGCCTCCATATTCATTGATCTGAATTGACATCACATTTTTCTTGTGTGTGCACCTGCACAAAATTGCCTCCATGTTTTTCTCTTTTCTCTGCATGTTTTTCCTTATCTGTATAGTCTCTTACCCCAGATGAGGAGAAGGTAATCCTTAGACCCCTGTCTTAGTCTGTTCAGGCTGCTGTAACAAAATCCTGCAGACCGGAGTCTTGGACAGCAGACGTTTATTTTCCCGATCAGTTCTGGAGGCCGGAAGTCCCAGGTCACGGTGCCGGGAGGGTTGGTGTTCTCTGAGGCTTCTCCCTGGCTTGCAGCCAGCCGCCCTCTCTGCTGTGTCCCCGTCCAGTCTTCCCTTTGTGCACTTGCCACCCTCGTGGGGCTTCCTCCTCTTACAAGGACACCTGTCAGAGTGGATTCGGGCCCGACCACATGACTTCAGTTAACTTTTAACAACCCCTTTTCAGGTTCTGTCTCCAAATACCATCACATTCTGAGGTACTGGGGGTTAGACTTCGACGTATGACTTTGGGGGACACAAGTAGCCCATAACTAGCCCAGTCTGTCGGGGCATGAGCACTGATTGAACAAGACTGCGGTTTTGTCCTTTCAGAGCTTGGTGACGTTCGGGGATGTGGCCGTAGATTTCTCCCAAGAGGAGTGGGAGTGGCTGAACTCGGCTCAGAGGAACCTGTACAGGAGTGTGATGTTGGAGAACTACAGGAACCTGGCCTCTCTGGGTAAGGGTGTCCCTCCACCCCTCATTCTGCCACCTCTCCCCCCGGCCGCTGCCCTGACTCAGAGCCCTCTGCTCCTTTAGCACCGGGCCTTGCTCTGTCGCCCTTTCCTCAGGCCCAGGGGCCCGCACCTTGGGTCTGCACTGACGCACAGCATGACCGCCTCCTGTTCTTTTGTACGTAGGACTCTGCGTTTCCAAGCCCGATATGATCTCCTCGTTGGAACAGAGGAAAGAGCCCTGGATGGTGAAGAGAAGGCTGACAAGAGGCCGGGGCCCAGGTGAGTGTGGGAGACCTCCTGGGGTGAGGCCCCTGCGGCTCACAGCTCAGGCCCTATGTACGTAGGATGGTCAGCACGCAATTCCTGAGCGTCCGGGCGTGGGGGGAGCATTGAGGCCTCTGGAGCACAGGCTCCCGTCTCCTCTCCGCCTCTGCCCCCCGCCCTGCGAACATGACTTCTTGCCCCTGCCCTGGATCCCGTTTCTTTCTCGCTCCTTCTAAGACCTTTTGTTGTTCAGGCTTACATAATCATGTCCGTTCTTTGGAAAATCCTTGGCTGGTTCCAGTGTCATTTTTACTATCTTATTTCTCTTTGATTAAAAGGCTACTTCTTGTATAGACTTCTCTCATTGACTTTTTTTTTCACTTATGAGGGAGGCCATCAGATGCTGCTTGGTGGATGACTGTAAGCTCTTAAAGAATTAACCGTGTCGCATGAGAAGTAGGGTGTATATCCGTGGCTTACGTGAAGGAGAAAGTGCTGTCCCATGTATGCTAAGTATCAATAGGGATGTAAGAGGAAGAAGGAAAATCACTCCCAGTTTGAAGCCAGGGAAACCAGAATGAGAGTACAGTCTTTGGCAGAAACGTTAGAATTACAAGAGAGACCGGCAGGCCAGG